AAAAAAAAAAAAGAGCATCTTTGACACCCTCCCCAAAATACACACGTGCATACACACATGCACACACATACACACATGCACACACATACACACATGCACACACATGTGCTCACTCTCACACACACCTCCCCCGGTTTAACTCCGAATCCTGTCCCGTTTCCACCTCTGTTCTCTTCCTCCTTCTGAGTCCCCACATTCCCCATACTCCATCCCTAATCCCACTGCGGCCCTACTTACTGACAGAAGAAGAGGTGCCTGTGCTGGTTGGGTCTCCACAGCCTCGCCCCTAAATAGGAGAGAAATTCCCAGGTAGGGGAGGACTCAGCCCAAGGCTTGCCCCTCCTACCTACCTCTCAGCCCCAGAGGACTCAGTTCTATCAACCCAGCTTCATCCTCTAGGCCTTCTCATCTCAGAGGGGCTCCTCATTCCCCTGTACACAGGCCCAAGGGACAAAGGATTCTAATATTAGAGCTATTATACAGATGGGGAAACTGAGGCCCAGAGAGGCATGACTTGCCTGAGGTCCTACACTAGGTCAAGACTAGAACTCACCTCACCTGTGACTTTTGGCAGAAAAGCAAACTTGGTGGGAGCAGGGAATCAGGAAGGGGATGGCATTGGAGAGCGACTTACCCTTCTTTGGGTATTTTAGGTCCTGGCATGGATGGCAGGAAGTGGTTGGCTGTCTTTTCCTCTGGAGTCGCCATGGGCATTAGAGGACGTGCTTCCTGGGAGCTTTCTTCCTGTTCCCCTGGGCCAGGCTCTGGCAGAGCTCCTTGGGGCCTGCTGTGTGCGTTGGCTGCCTCCTTGGAGGGCTTGTCTCCCAGGGGCTGTCCACAGCTGTCCAAGGTGGAACAAGGCTCTGTTGGCTGCATCATGTCTGACCCATTTGCTGCCTTGTGATCTAGGGTGGAGTGATGCTCAGAGCCCTGCCAAGGACAAGGACACCTAGGATGGCGAACCCTGTTATGGTTCCCAGGGGAATCTCACAGTCACCCAGAACCCAGTTATTACATGCTTACTAGGGTGCAGGTACTGCAGGCATTATCTAACTGAATCCTCCTAGCACCTCCAGAAGGTAAGGACAGATACCCCTATATTTTGAGGGATGAGAAAATTGAGGCCCAGAGAAGGTGTGGCCTACCCAAAGTCATGATCCATGTGGGGGTGGAATGGGAGCCTGCAAAAGTGCGAAGATCCCCTTTAAAGGGGATTTTCCAAGGGATGTTTCAGAGAATGATAATCCTTCATGATGCTCCTTAAAAGGCGGAGGGTTACACTGACTTCACAACTTATGAGAAAGCTATTGTAATTGAAACAACGTGGTACTGGGATAAGGAAAGATAAATAAACAAATGGAACAAAGCAGAGTCTAGAAACAGACCCACATGTGTGGTCAACTGATTTTTTTTTTTT